CACCGTCGACAATTCTGTCCAAAATGGTTCACGCCCCAGAAGAGACGAAGGAACGTTCATACGTTGGAAACGATGATCATGAGGTACCCAAACACCTGCTTTATGAAGTTTTTCCATATTCCTTAGATGTTTACGTATTGTTTCTTGAGTGACATACAATTCCAGGGCCATTTCACGAGTATGTTGCCTTGGGTTAGATTCAACAAGCGTCTTCAGAGCATCAATATCAATTCCAACATGTCAGCCCCTGCCATCGCAGTTTTTAAGGCTAAAGTCACCTGAACGAAATTTGCTGAACCATTGTTGACACTTACAAACGTTCAAATATTTCCATAAACTTCTTTTATATTATTTGTGGCTACAGAGATGTTGTTTCCCTTCTTGTATTCAAACAGCATTTCATGCCGAATGTGCGTTTCGTCGTGTGCCATCACTGTAAGGGATTAGGGTATACTAAACTTTACACATTATACAGGCTACACTAACGTGACGTCTAGGCGTTTCGTTTAACTATTTATAATACGTGATGCACGTTTTTTGGGGGTGGTTAATGAAAGTGTTCCAAAACGTGTTCCTAATATATTTCACTGTGTATTCTCTTTTATTTAATAACTCACGAAGCTGTGCTAAATAACCAAATAACTTATGATTCTAGGCACTTAAGTTGGAAACTACTTGTTTTGCTGGTCAAATAGTTTTACTCAAATTTTAATCTTTTACTATAGATCCTACTCGTTTCAATTCATCAGAGTCAGAACCTACAGGTGTAGTTTGTATTACCATCAACCACTACACTCAGACATAATCACTTTCTTCTTCTGGAAATTACCATTTTATTGATTAAGTAATCAGTGGATTTGCCTATGGCTGTAAACACGTAGAACGTGCCACAAATATTCCATAAACATCTTCATTTCATGGACTTGCTCCCGAAGAAAGGTAAACTCATCTTTAGTTTCGAAATGCGTCTGTACTTTATAATTTTGCTACGAGACGTTTAGAGCCTTCGTGCCATGGCTCAAAATTATTAAAAGTTAAAAAAAATCCCTCATTATATAATTTGCATTTTTTGATATTGGCTCTCGCTCTCCCCTCCTATTTTCAACATATTTTCTGGATACACTGTGTATGAGCAGACAGATTGTGACCAGAATATGGAGGACTACATCGGATTGTCTGACTAGATGTTTTTCTTTTCTTTTACTTAACGAATGTTTCCAATGGAAGTCACGAGAATTTCTGCTTTCTGGGGTTTCACTACTTTACCTGTTCTCGATGTTCATAACCCTTGTTTGGATGTCACTTGTTTAAACCTCATTTCACATATCTCTGTTATTGATTCCGAAATTCTGATCTGTAGTGAATTCACTGCCCATCATCTGTTTTAAGAATCATAAAATGTTGATTCTAACCTATTATTCTTGGAAAGATTTCTTAGTGAGAAGAAACTTGTTCTGCTTTAAAACCGGAACTCCTACTCATATCAAATTGTCAACACTACATGCCATCATCATCTCTAACTACATCACTGACAACTGAATGTGGACTTGTCCACCTAGACATATTTTGAAGTGGTCCCTTTCCATACTTTATGAATACAAATTCTTCTTTATTGTGAAGTCGTTTCCTCTGTTTGGCATTATAATGGTATAGATAGAATTGAATATTTTTCTACTGTGGATACTTTTCTAAACAATTAAGTTTTTGAGATAGATTTCTCTATATGTTTGTGGCGATCTTGATAAAGGCTATATAACTGCTTTCCTTTGCACTTGGCTCCATAAATGAACTTTACTGGAGAGTCTCTTGGTGAAATACTCACTGCAGCAAATTCATTGCACTTTGTCACTATAGTACATACCATTGCCTCTTGCAACACTTCAATCAGGTTAATTTACATGTTCATCGTTTTTCTTGTCACAAGCGAGCAAGCTATCAGAACTACTGTTTGTTTTTTATATTAAAGTTACTTTCAGTACCAGCACTTGGGAGTAATCATGGACGTGCTTACATATTAGCTTTTGTAAACACTTTTACATTTTCAGGAAATGAATGTATTGACTCTCTTGACAAGAAGGTTTAGAACAAATTTTCACATAAAATATGTCTTCTTAGCTTGCGCAACTTTCACCTTTTCCCAGTTTTCACACTCGATTTGTTCCTGGAAGCTACAATGGATCTCTTTTCATACTAGGAATATCACATTTGTTATTCTATAAACATCCTATTGTCCATTATAGATGACTAGATATTACTTACACGTGCCTCTATCTTGGTACTTGTGCACTAAATTCCACTTTAATTGTTTCGAAAAATCCAGATAATTATAGAAGAACTTTTTAGTTCAACCAACGTTTCCCCTTTGCGGCTTCATCAGGGCTGTTTGAATCCGCAAACGCGAAACGTTGGTTCAAATAAAAAGTTATTTTATAATTATGTGGAGGTTAAAGGTCGTTATTCTCTAATCTTTTAATCAAAATGTGTAAATCCCTTCAGTGTGCACTACAAATTTTGAAGGACAACAAAATATAATTACATTTAATATGGTATAAAAACTACAAATTTCGAAACAATTAGCCATGTCCTTTTGGAATGCCTCTTATATTTTTTTCCTTTGAGTTAGACTCTGGCATTTACCAATTAATATAAAAGTTTCAATTTGAAAAATATTTTTATGTCCAAAAACTGGCATGACTAAGTCTCTTTTGAACTCATATGTTATTAGCTATCTTCAAATTTTTGCATGCTACTTCACCGCTAGATTTTCTTTAACAAGTATTTCAACTGCCGTTCGTGTTGTGTATGATTCAAATAGTTGTAAATAAATGAAAATAAAAACAAATTTGAAATTACATTTGAGATCATGTTACAATAATCTAAAACATTGATTTTAACTCTTAGTCATTTTATGATTATCAATGCAGATGAAATGAAACAACTCAGAATATAGAAATATGCTAAAAGCTCACCAAAAATCTAGTCTTAAACCAGCAACATTAAACTGGTTCATTATTATTACAGTTGTACCATATCCCAGAATGGGATAAGTATTAATTATAAGAAAGGAATGTACAATCCGTATTGTTTGTTTGTTTGTAATTAAGCACAAAGCTACACATTGGGTTATATGTACTCTGCCCACCACGGGTATCGAAACCCGAATTCTAGCGTTGTAAGTCCGCACACATACCGCTGTGCCACTGGGGGGGGGCGTATTGTTTGGAAAAGGATTCCTAGTTTGTTTGCTTGTAATTAAGCCCAAAGCCACACAAAGGGCTATCTGTGTTTTGCCCAATCTCTTTACTTCGAGATTTAATACAAAATGAAATATGATAATAACAAACGGAGCAGGGTTTTTATTATAGGGATATTAACTTCTCCTAATTTCGTGCACTATAAAACGTTATACAACTTTTTAATACATAGTAATGAGTCTATATCCATTTAGATTTAACTTTACCATATTAAAACATTCATTCCTAATGATTTACTCTGCTCTCAAAAAATAAAACAAACGAACAATATTTTATTATATTCTGTTATTTCCAGATTCCAACTTTAGAAGTCTGATGGGAGCTCTACCAACTGATATTGCTTTTCGTTTAATGCTAGCACACGGCAAACCACTAGCTTGGTGGTATGGCCAGTTTCTAAAGTACATTCTTCGACCGCAAGAGGGACTTTTGAAAAATGTACAGACGGTCAGAATGTCAAGTTATGAACACCCGATTGTTGGGTTAGTACAATAGGTTATCGATTTCACTCGTTTCAGAGTAAAACATAATATTTAAGAAAAGAAACGATTTTGAATAATACGTACCTGAAATAACCTCTCCCAAGTATCTTTAACCATAACTTATACAAAAATCGCTGACTTGTTTTCTGTATGAGAAATAATTTATGCTATTCTGGTATTTTAAGGTGCACTTTCTCAACTGGTAAATAAGTTAGGTATTATAATAACAGTAGGTTCAAAGAGAATGAATGTGGTGTTTGCTTAAATACAACTCTAACAAAAGCAAAGAAACTGATACAGTTGTTTCACTTCGATAGAAAATAAAAACACTTTATCAAAGAAAATAAAACGATGGCAGATAAGTTTCTCTGTATGCTAAGCAACAGGAGATTTGAAAATTTTAAACAATTTTGCTGGTCTACCACAAAGGTGGTTTTGATTAGTCAAAGAAAAACGAAGACAATGGGAATTTTAACTAGGTAATAGCTTTACTTTAACCTATATTCAAGTTTGATTTGGTTTGAATATCGCACAATGCTACATGAAGGTTATCTGCGCTAACCGTTCCTAAATTAGGAATGAAAGACTAGAAGGAAGACAGCTAGTTTACCAACGAATAGTGGGATTGACAGTCCCCATGGCTGAAAACGCGAGCATGTTTGGTGGGATGGAGATTCGAACCCTCGACCCTCAGATTGCGAGTCAAGCACCCTAACCACCTGGCCATGCCGAGCCGAAAAACTTGATTGGTGATTGGAGGGAAATGTTTGTTTGTAGTTAAGCACAAAGTTACACAAAGGGCTATCTGTGCTCTGCCCACCACGGGTATCGAAACCCGGTTTCTAGCATTGTAACCCTATCAGTACTTGCTAGAAGATCATGGCACTAACGTGACGAAACTAGACTCGTTGTCAGAGAAGGGTAATATAAGTTTTTCCTTGTTTTAAGTTTCGTATATGTCTAGCTCGCCAGATGTTGTGACAAAGGTTTAACGACTTATCTAGGGTTCTGGTCACGTCAGAACTTAACACACCTGCACCTCTTTATCAGATTATCACTGTTTACAGCTAGTTATATGCTATTCTCATAAAATGTTTAGTCAAGACCCGTATGAAAGTTAAAACTATTACCTGCACAAATCTGAATAATTATGTGTTTGTTTTCTATTTATGGAGTTTTTGAGTCCTTTCTAACTCACCGTATAGTAACCTAAGTTAATATAGGTGTGTGAATAATATTGTGGTATTGCACCTAATTTATTATTCGATATTGAATAGCGGAACCAGGATTTAATGATTATGTTACAGATTTATTTCATTTTCTTCATTACAAAAGGCTTAACTATATTTGGTTTGCTGACTCAAGCTATGCTGATGAACCTTGAATAGGAGAAACTGTAGTCAACAGTAAATGGTTCAGCAAATCAATGAATACATTAGGTCTGTACGTCAGAGGTTATATCTTCAATTTCACTTTTGGTGGAAAGAAAATAAAGTTTTAAAATAATCATGTGTTTTTATGTAATATCTACACGCTACACTAATATTTTCAATTTATAAAGAATTGGAACAGAAACGTAAACCCAGAACGTCATTTATATATTATTTGATATAAATATGAAACTTACAACGAGTTTACGATTTCTTATTACTGCATTCGTGATCTGTATTGCTTTATGGAAACATATAAAAATACTTATTATAGTTATTATATAATTTGCTCTCAAACTGTGTAATTATTTTTGCGTAACACAAATTTATGGAATAGTCTAACTTATAAGGTTAATTTTGTTAAACAACTTTGTTTGTACGTGATATTTTAAGAACAGAACTTGTTGAGGATCATACATGTAATGCTCACTTTGTAACAGAAAATCATAGTATTTGAAATAACTTGATTATTTCCTGGGCAAATATTGAATTTTCAACAAAACGTAACTACCTGAAATACACATCTCCAATAACAGTTGCTTATCGACTAATTGAAATAACTTATCTCCTGTTAATAATGTCTAAATATGATCCAGTGGTTAGCGTGCCGGGCTGCGGATTTCACGTGAAAAATGTGAGCTCGCGACATGCTCCTAAACACGCTCCATGCTTTAGCTGTAGAGCGTAATTATAAAAATGACAGTCAATCCCACGGTCAGTTAACTGAGTGGTTGTCCTCCCTCCGGTCAGCAATTTTAAATTTCGGATGATCATTCCTGGATATTAATGGCCTCTGACCTAGCCAGATAACCATGTGTCTAATAAGATGATTGTGAGGTTAAATATATCAGAACCAATACTATTTAATATATGTGATCTGTATCTGTTTATACACAATAATTGGCAGTTAGTTAATCATTTGAAGCCTAACCTTGCATTCCAGATCATTTCAAAAAGTAATTAGAATTTTAGTAGCCTAAATTTTTAATACGTTTTCTTCGCTTATTGACCCTAAAGTTCGACTAAAATACTTTTTGGGAACGATAATTTAAAATCGATAAATAGATCTATTAATTTCAAGAAAACAACTTGTGTATCAGTAGGAAATGTTCAATATTTAATTGTATGAATTAATTATCATATTGTTATAAAATTGCTGTACACAGGATTCACGTGCGACGCACGGATAAGATAGGAAATGAGGCAAGTTTTCACCCAATAGAGGAGTACATGTTGCATGTTGATGACTTTTATAGACGTTTGGCGCTTGTGAAAAACGTGAACGTTCGTCGAGTGTTTGTTGCAACGGATGATCCTAAAGTACTGATCGAGTGCAAAAAGAAGTAAGAAAAAAAAACTTATACTGTCAGTTAATGTTATTAATAAAAACAATAATTATATCAGGAGTTCTACAAAAAGGGACAAATTACGAAGATCCCTCTATCTCTTTAGTCCAGAAGTAAAACACCGTATTCTGTACAATTTTCAACAAGAGCAGGTTTCGGTTTCTTGGTCTGGATGATTTAATAGAACGTTGATGATGTATTTTAGAACATAGTCTCATGTTATAGTACAGATGTATTTCAATGTTTTGAAGACATTTTGTAGTTAATAATTACTGATCATTATTCTCTTTTACAAATATGTTTAACTATTGAACTGATTGTTTATCATCTTGTTTAAATTTAGAATATTATAAAATATAAGCAAATTAATGTATAATTTCTTCAAATTTACAACACAACATGAAAGAATCTCACAAACCTAATTTAACATTGTTTGCATAGTCTTTTAATATTAAGGTTTTTATCCTTTTGATTTATTTTAGTCAGTTTACTAATTCGATGCGTCCGTGTTGATTTCATTTAGATATCCCAATTACGTATTCGTGTTCAACTCAGAAGCTACGGCCACCGCTAATAACGAAAAAACTCGATATAGTAATTCTTCTCTAGTAGGAGTAGTAACGGATGTGTTTCTTCTGGCTCATTCGGACTTCCTTGTCTGTACTCTCTCCTCAGGGGTACGTATATGTAGTGTATAATGACTCATATTTCCCTCCAGATTATTCACATTTCAGTTTCTCTACTCCTTTTTTACCAGAAGCATATTAGTTATTATAGATTGATCTGTTCCTTGTTGGTCAGTGGTAAATATATGCAGACGTTACTGGTAATTTGAAATTAACTTGTAATATGTTGTTTAAAGTAACGTGTATAACGAAAAACTAAACATAAATGACTTATTACCATAGATACGAAATTGTGATATGGGATATTATCACATGTGTTGGAACGCATTCTATTCATAAACATTTCAATACATTCTAGACAGACTTTTATGGCGCTTGATTAGCAGATCTTTCTGAAAATCTCTTTCTTCGTTTAAACTTGTTTTTCGGAAGTGCAAAAAAAGCTCGCTTAAAAGATTTTTTGCAGCCTAACTTATTTAAACGTGAAAATTCAAAGAGTCTGTTTGTTTCTAATTAAGCACAAAGCTACACAATGGGCTATCTATGCTCTGCCCACCACGGGTATCGAAACCCGGATCCTAGCGTTGTAAGTCCGCAGACATACAGCTGTTCCACTGGGGGGGCAAAAAAAATCAAAGAGAAATTAGAAATTGAATTGAAAATTACTGCGCATCTGTCATTAGTATTTTCTTTTCGTTAAAATATACACAGTTTATGAAACTAATATTATTTATCTATCTATCTATTTATATCATATATATATCAAACCAAAACATCAGTAAGATTCACCTGTTTATACGAATATGAAAACACTCCACTATCAGACTTTTCTTTAATAATTTCTTCTACCGGGTTCATGACTTCAAAGGTCACTCTTCAGAATATCGTCTTTCTGAGAATCTTGAACAAAAAAACATATAAATACCGCTTTTCAACTAAACATTAATAATATAAATATAAATACATATATCTTGCAACTGATTTTATTTTAAGTAATTCAGAAATTGGGTATTTTTATGTAATTTCTAAAATTCGCAATTCAAAAGAAATTAATGAATTATTGTTCGAAACAAAAATTGAATACATTGATATGGGGAAATCACCTAATATTCCAGTTATACCAATTGTGGGAGGAAATAAAAAAAAATACTGAACATTTAAGTGACCTTTTAGACTCAATGTTAAAACCTGTTTTCTCTCATACTTCTAGTCTTATTAGAGATGATTTTGAATTTGTTGAAAAATTGCCAAGAAAATTAGAAGAAAATCAGAGTTATGTTTCTTTAGACGTGGGAGATCTGTATCCAAGTGTTGAATATGATTATGGACTTAAAGCTGTCGAGAAGTTTTCTAGATAAATACAAAGAATTAAGTCATCGCAGATTTAATAAAGGTTTATCTTAAAAGGTTTAGATATAGTTTTAAAAAGTGTTTTTTTTCTTATGAGGAGCAAATCTTTCACCAAATATCAGGTACAGCAATGGGCACAAAAGTCGCTCCAACTTATGCTAATTATTTAATATACTACCTAATTATTTTAAAGATAATATTGTAGCTCAGGTAATATATTTAGATAGTTGTTTTGTAATATGGAAATATACTCAAAATATTAATAAATTTGTTGAAATTAAGTTTACCTTCCAAATATATAATAAGAAAGGGTTGTAATTTTTAGATATGTTGGCACGTGTTTCAGGAGGAAAGGAAATTATAACTAATATTTTTTTATAAACCCACAAATTCTCATCAGTATGTAGATTTTTTAGTAATCATCCTAAACATATAGAAATAAATGCTCCTACAAATCTTGCAAGTAGGTTATATCATTCGGTTTCCAATGAAGAAACGAGAGGTAATAGATTAGAGGAATTAAACAAATTTTAGTTCAGTCTCACTACCCGAAGAAAGTTATATTAATAGGTTTTGAAATTGCTAAAAATAATTTTTTTGATAAAGAACATTTAAACAAAGAGATTAGTAAACCTAAAGATAATGTTATACCTTTTGTTGTGACGCATTGTCCAAATATACATATTGATATTTTATTTGTTCATAAACAAATAGTATAATAAAAAACTGAATGATGTAGTCAAGGTAACCTAAACATTTGTATAGATTATGGAATAAACCTAAAAGAAGAGATTTTTCTGAAAAAAGGTATCTTCAGTTGTGACAGAAAAACTGTTTTTTATGTAATTTAGGTTGTATGAAACCTACCAAAACAATAAAGAATAACAACAAATAAATGTTGTTTTGTATTAACAATTTATTTAATTGCAATTCTAAGAACGTAATATATATATTTTAAAATGTGTAAATTACGGTGAATTACACATTGGTGAAACAAATAATTTAAGATTATGAATAAATTTACATAAATTCCACGTCAGATGTACCGAAAACAGTCAATTAAATGCCAGTAAACGTTTTATTGAATGTATCTTAAGAAAATTTGAAATTCTAAAACAAATATATTTTTATGTTTTCCGTTTTGGGGAATGTGACATAAAACATAAATGTTTTATCAATTTTTGGCGCCACTTCAAATAGATAGTAGTAAGAGGGCAGAAGTAATTGGTTGTGTAAATACAGTAGAATTGTAAAACCGTGAAAACAGTAAATATTACTTACAGAAAAATAAGTAAAGGTATGAAATTATAGTGTAAATTTCATTTCTATGATAATAATAAGAAAAAATATAATAAGGTTATAATTTAAAATGAAAAGTATATTGACTAATTCTATTTATTTTTGAACATTTGTAATGTACTTAATTTATACACGTACTGTGTTATATGCTTGTACATTTGGAAAGTATACGTTTTTAATTTAGATTATTTATGTTTAGTTGAAAAGCAGTATTTGTATGTTTTTGTTACAGTTTCCAAGTAAAACTATTTCTTGAAGAATGACCTTTGAAGTTACGAAACCGGTAATAGAAATTAATAATAAAAAAGAAAATCTGATATTCCAGTGTTTTTTTTATGTGTGTGTGTGTGTGTGTGTATCTAACAATAACTTGAAAACAATATTACTAAATGCATGATGTTGTTACTTGTTTTAGGTTTAGTGTATTTGAATGCTTCACGAGTATTTAACTTTAAACTTCTCAATATCATTTTTAACAATTCTAGACAAGCCATATTTTCATAAAAATCTAAACTAGATAATATATTTAGATGTGATGTTTTATAAATCCAAATCTTGTTCTCTATAGCAATACCCTGAAACTTAGGTCTACCCTTCTTTTCTCATCTGTAATTCACTTTGTCCTCTCCCCACACAAATATCAACTAATTTAAATCGTGATATATCTATATATATATATATATACCAAAAGTTTTTCTAACGTTTCTTATGCCCACGGCAAAAAATACAAAGCTACATAACGGACTATCTGTGCTCTGCCCACCATGGGTATCAAAACACGGTTTCTAGCGTTGTAAGTCTGCAAACATACCCCTGTGCCGTTACAAGAATCACGTTATAAAAATAATGTTCGTTTTGTATGACACTCAAAGATGTTACACGTAGCAATGCATAATTAAAAATACTTTAGTATTTTCTTTTTGATTTCGGTTAATGTTATTTCTTTACAGTGATTGCCATATAGGAGTTAATATTTTAGGGAATCATAAAAATTAGTTGATTTGTTTTTCATTCTACAGCTCTAAAGGAATGTCTGGAAGGATCTTTGAAAATTTCTTGATATATATTTTCCAATCAATTAAACGTTGTAGGTCCTGCAGTTTAATTTTTAACAAAATTCTTGTTAAAATAAAAAGGATGTAATAGAAAAATACATACACGTGTGGATGAAGTAAAGTGAAAAATGTAGTTTCTTTAAGTTATTAAAATAACAAAACTAACTTTAAAATGTCGGTTTTAATAGTTTTACTGGGAGGCCTGAATATTTCAAGACACTTCCAGAAGACAGGCTGATTTTTCCTTTAAATTAGAACTGGAAATTTATTATTTTTTCCACTCCTTACAGCTCTGTCGAGTGGCATACGAACTGATGCAGACACTTCACCCAGACGCCTCAGCCATGATCCGGTCACTGGACGTGGACCACCACTATGCTTGGGTTTTACCCCCAGCTCGTGTAGCAGTCTACAAGCACGTCGCACATTCTAAAAAAGAAATGGCTCTTGAAGCTGGAGATACGATTTACAAGAAGAATGCATATGATGTTCTTGATGAAGCCCTTCACAAAAGATCGTGGGATGGTTATTCTATCGGAACTAATTCTAGAACAAAACTTTCTGCAGCCTTCCTCACTTACAAAACTATACAACAGTACCCTTCGGTTATTGATTTTCCTAAATATCCTGATTATAACGTTTCACTTCCACCTTTTGACTTTGATAACTTAGCTAGTTCGTGATAATTTAAAATTATTTTAAAACTTCTCACAATATACATCTCTGTATAAACGTTTTAATTTGTAGCCCGATTTTGTGTTTAACCCTAGCTGAATTCAGTTTTCTAACTTACAATGTGTTATTGATACACCGAGTATATATATATATAGCAAGCACTATAAGTACAGTTGTGGTATATTTGTGCCTAAAAATGCCTTCCGAAAAATTAAAAATAAACAAGCGTAATGATTATGGAAAAAAATATTTCAAAAATCAAAGAAATGCATACACTGTTCACAATATTTATATTTTGTAACAAGAGTTCTGCACCTAATGAGATGAGGTTATCCAGTGCTATTGCCAACTGATGCCTTTTCAGGGAGGTACAGATGAGCCTCACTCACCTCTGCAGATACCGCCAGGCCTTTTTGATGTCTTCCTGTATAGTTAGAACACTGACAGACATTTGCGTTGACTACCCTTGTCCTGACCTCTTACTCGTTTATTCTGCAAATATCTAAAACAGGCTTCACTCCAGTTGGCTGTTCAGGCTTGGTAGTTGTGTATATTTCTCCATCTTACTAAGATCAAGTCTTGTTGGAAACTTCCTTGGAGAGTTCTTTGGCAACTTAAATGTGGTTGATGACAACATCTGGCAAGAGTGGCTCCATGAAATTATGGGTTCCATTTTGGCAAGAGAAAATGTTGTTCCTTCAGTCGCTCCTTTCCAAACTTCACGGGGTTACAGATGAGTGACAACGGGTCAATTATTAACTTCTCCACTTGGCTCAAGTTTAAACTTTTTCTTTGTATAACATGTATGATAGCTTGATTACATGTAACTGTACACATCTTTCATGTGATACTAATTTGTCCTGCGCCATTATATAGTTCATTCTTTTACGTTGACAGTGATACTAATAGTGGAATTTGGCTCTTAGGACCTGCTCATGAATGACAGATGGTCTTTGCAGCTCTCATTATCTTAGCTGGGAACTTTTTCGAGGATGATGTTAAATGAATGTTGAATGTGTTCTCTTCCATTGGAATGTCCTCCAACATCAAGACATTTGGAGGACATTCCATTTAACTGATCCAACAATAACAAGAGGTGAGACAACAAGAATAAGGTACAATTCATTAGGCAAGTCCAAAATGTCAGTGGGATTGCTGATGGGTTCTCATTGAAAATCTATGGTTTCAGCGCTCTTTGTATCAGCATTATTTTCTCAAGCTACAAATCCCTATTTTGACACCACTAAAATTGATAACTACTGTAAACATGGAGTCAAAATAAGGATTAGCTTCAGAAAATAATGTAACCTAAAATGTAGACATGGAGTCAAGATAGAGATTTGTAGCTTGACAAAATAATGTAGACACTATTTTCAGACAAATTCGTGTACTTTCTTTAAAGTTCCTAGTTGTAGGCTTGAAAATACAATCTGTACATTTTAATTCAACTTGTTTCTTTCACAACCTCTATTCACCTTTTAAATTAACAAAAACATCGGTTTTGTGTTTTTTACTCTTAATATAATTTTCTATGGCTAATAGGCTAAATGAACATTTTTTTTTCAATAATTGAATAGAGAAAAACGATTCATTTTTTATACAATTATATTTCGGCACTATGTTTTCAGAAAATAAACTTGCGATAAGATTTAAGATAAGGTATTACTGATTCACATAAATAGTAAAATAAAAATGTTATTTATCTGAAGAATAAAAATTAGTCAATTAGATTTGTTTGCAGTTGATCACAAAGCTGGACAGTGGGCTATCTGTATTGTGCATATTACTGGTATAACAGGTATGTTAGCGTTATAAGCCATTAGACCTATAGCTGAGCCACTCGTGTATTTGGTAAAGTTGGATACAGAAGCTTAGCATATGTAAATAGAGTCAGGGCATCACAACTCTACCATTTCCTGGTCAATCACAATATAGATCCTCCTTTACTTATCCTAGTGCCCGGCATGGTCAGGTGGTTAGAGCGTTCGACTCGCAATTTGTGGGTTCGAATCCCCGTCACACCAAACATGCTCGCCCTTTATGCCGTAGGGGCGTTATAATGTGACAGTTAATCCTACTATTCGTTGGTAAAAGAGTAGCCCAAGATTTGGCGGTGGGTGGTGATGACTAGCTGCCTTCCCCTTAGTCTTACACTGATAAATTAGGGACGGCTAGGGCAGATATCCCTCGTGTAGTTTTGCACAAAATCCAAAAAACAAACAAACTTATACTTGTTAAAGCTTCTCAATAAACACACCTCCCTGGACTTTCTAACACAGATTCTGGAAACCAGGATTATTGGCGTTGTCTAAACGATGTATGTGCACGTTGCTGCCCAAAATATAGCAAATAGCTGTACCACAAAGCATTAATACACTCATATTTGTCATTATTATGTATGGTTTCAGGATAAACTGGAGTTCATTAAAAAATTTTTTATCGAACTCTTACTTGCTTCAGGTAAAAACAACAAGCAATCAGTATGTTACAATGCTAAGTCTACGCCAATTATAAAATGTAAATATACGGATCTATGTCTACATAGAATAAGTCACTGAAAGACAAAATAAAACGTAAGTGCTTTTACTTAATAATATATACATTTAGATTAGTTGAACAGTGTGAAGTAATGAAAGCAAATAATGTCACCTCCTAACAACGTGCATTGACCAAAGTGTAACATTTAATTACAAATTAATTGAAAAACATCGTAAAATATTTATCAACGCAATTAATAATTTTCCCGAATATAATTGGAAATACCACTAATAATACTGAACCCATCTTAAAAGTTGAAGAATGTTTAATTATTTTCGTAAATATTACATCGAAGAAATTTTAATGTATCCAAGAACCAAATTCATCAGAAAATATTTTTCTTTACATCTGTGACATCGGAGTGGAATGTATGTGTGTGGTGAATTATCGGCACTGCAAAAACTGTAACTAGCTTCAAAAACTTTCTGGTTTAAGATTTCACCCTTACTGGTGAACAGCTTGACATTCATTATGATGTTCTTTGTGAGAATGATGCTTGATGGATACATCATAACTTAACACAAAGCTTTACCAAGTTTTGTGTTAATGCATCAGTCTTTTTTAGGGGTTGGCTCAACAAACTACTCTAGGAGATTATAAAGAGAGGCTATTACAATTCACATTATATCTGTTTTAATCCTTTCATTGTAGTAGAGAACCCAGGATATCACGTATTCCTGTTTATTGTTTAAAGTTGTCTTTCCAGCCAGTAGCTTTATATTTGCTCCTCTAGCTTCTTCCAGGGTCATTTTCAAACAAGTATTACAAGATCAATAAGACCCAAAATTGCAGAATTATAAATCGTTAATGTTAACATTAAATCACCCAAAGTGGAAAGAGAAAATTATGTATAAATCAATAGTATTATGCACTGAAATGCATGTATGAGAGTCAAATGATACCTCTTTAGGCCAATACTGCTTTTTTTCATGTTTCATAATTTACACAAAGAATATACTTTTAATCTTCTCGATACGAATAGGCCAAAGTGTGTATGTTACGACCTTCGTTACAGGGTTGCATTCAAAATTCAGTTAACTACTTTATTATCAATATATGTAAATGGACTTGGCATCAGTACCTAGTTATACAATTATATAAGTTTTAACTTCTAAATTTCAAAAGCAAATATTTAAATAAATTTTCGGTCTTAATTTTTCTGTATCGCATGACATTTGTTCGCTCCGAAATGCACAATTTAGGTAATCTTAGAAAGTTATCAGGTGAGATAAGAAAACTATAGAACAAATCTAATAACATATGTAAACTTTTCAAGCGCAGATTTTTCTCACGTACAATCTAAGCAAAAATAAATAGCAGCATTTTATTTTATGCTTTGTCAAAAAGGTAGCATCTTTTCAGATGTCACAGCTTCTGTGTGTTTACAAAACATTTTGTTTTTCTGTAGAACATTTCAATCGTCTTTGATTTATAAGTATAAAACATCAGACCTCTAAAAGGTCGATGAAGAATCTAGTTAATATAATTTTTTGTGTGTGTAAATAAGTAAATAATTCATGCCATACATTTAAAACGTTACAGTGTTTCTTTGTAATTAAGCACAAAGCTACACAATGGGCTATCTGTGCTCTGCCCACCATACGTATCGAAACCTGTTTTCAAGCATTGTAAGTCCGCTGTGCCACTGGGGGGCTAAAATGTACAAATCTTTGTTGTTTTTCAGTGGAAGTTTGTTAATATAAAATTATATAACTGATTGAAAATTACCTATAAACATAACCACTAGCAAATTCATTCACGACACGTAATGATATTAAAGGTCAGTTGTGTGGTCTTAACATTACTCATAGTTTAAAGTTCAGGAACACCAGTTCATCAATATAAGAAGAGTGAAAAGATTGCTCCAAGTATGATATATTTAAAGTACATATTTTCTGCTATACATATTCTGTATACTCAGTTTTATATTAGTCTGCATCAAATGTATTTTTTAGTTTGTTTTTGCATTTTACTACGTACAAAACTATGTTTTAACACAAATTTCATACAGTCCAAACGACATTATTTGTTTTATAAAGGACAGAAATATGTTTTTCACGTTTTCCATCAAATATAATGGTATCAGTCTTCAAATATCTAATATAATGGTTATTGCTCAGCTACACAGTTGATCAGTTATCATTTTGTTTATACTGACTTTAGCAAACTTCCTACGACTTTTGGTATGACAACATGACATATAGTTAAATTTAATACTGAAAGATTAAAGTTTTATACTTAAAGCATATGTCCTATATCAGTATTGTTAACAAATCTATATAATTAAACAATTAATTGTTTATATTAAATATTTGCTTACATTGTGTCTTATGGAGAATTTATACTAAACGTCTATGTTAAAGATTTCAGTTTGGTAAGTAAGTAAATAAGTACATTGACAAGCTGAAACTGTATGTTATGGATGAACCTCTTGCAATAGCTTGACTTAAAACCAGAGTTTGGATTAATGAGTCAACAATGATTATAATAGTGTGTTTTATCATCTCAGCTCAACTGATGAAGAAAAGGGTGCTAATGGTACTTATTGGCTGTACACTGTGAAGATGTAACAGACAGCTCTAGTGGTCAACCGAGATTTTGTGACAAAATCCTCATGGCTATGCCTGGGATTAACTGCCAGATCAGCAGCAAAGATGGTTATTATTAAATCGATGATTGAAAGACATTTGTGCTCTTGCTGTCCAACCTATAGTGTAGTGTTTCCTAATAAAATGTTTGGAATATATTTTTTGACTGCTAGGTCATTAGGTTGATAAACCAACAAGGGTAAAAAGCTTTGTCACTCTTGAATTTTGAGATATTTCGTGGTGTTTTAGAAAAAATAATGAATATATAATATTTTTGTGAGTACGAGCCTATTACAAGGAGCTAGAATGATAATTATCTTTAGAAATCAATGGCTGAAATGGCCTTGCAACCCTTGCTTTCTAGGCCATAACGTAGTGTTTTCCTACGACATATATTAACTTCGTTTCGAGATTATCACTCAGTTCCCAGCAGCTAAGACAGATAATTTCAGCTTTTGGTAGAGTTTCTTTATGACTAAAATGTCAACATTATAAATCAGTTACCAACATTATGGATAATCATTTGGTTGATAAATCAATAACTGAAAGGAAGTAAGAATTCTTGTTTTTCAAGTTATTTTGTGGTGTTTCTTGATGATTGTTTGGTTGTTTTTGAATTTCGCGCAAAGCTACACGAGAGCTATCTGCGCTAGCTGTCCCTAATTTAGCAGTGTAAGACTAGAAGGAAAGCAGCAAGTCATCA